TGTGAACCGATCCAATCAAACTTAGTGAACAATGTCCGTCTTGCTGTTTGTCAATGTGGGGATGGATAAGAAGATGCCCTGTTCATGTCTTGGACTTTCCTTTCAACCCTTGAACTAACCTTTAACACATAGGTGTGATAACGGCAAGCCTTTGTTAAGTGATACAATTTAAATTTCCGGTCTGATGCTGGTAATGGTAACCTTGCATAAGAGTTCAATACTAACACGGTGGCAATCGTTAGAGATGAAACACAAGGCAGTAGTAATATTCCCAAGGCAGGTAGATTATAACTTATACACGACTTTATAGCTGGGGCTTAGCAAACATGACACTATTCTTGATCCTTTTATCTTATGTACAAACACATCCTGGAGATCTTTGATATTGATGGTCCTTTTATCTCGTGTACAAACATATCCATGAGATCTTGCTACTGATGGTCCCTTTATCTATTGATAGAACAACCATAAATATATTGCTATTCTTGATTCTTTATCTAATGTTAAAACATAACTTTAGAGACATTGCTATTGATGGTTATTTTATCTATGGTAAGAACGTATTTCAAGATGTCACTATTGATGGACCTTTGTATCTATTTTAAAAACCTATACCTGGGATATTGTTATTTTTGGCCCTTTGATTTATTGTAAACAGATTCTTCTGATCTTCTTTTTTGGAAATTTTGTTTCTATATAACCTCACAAACATTTTATTATTATCTGAAACATTAATAGAGGAATTTATGTGATTACTAGAGGAATTTATGTGATTACTAGAGGAATTTATGTGCCGATTTCATCCATGAGAGATTACTACTATTAGGCTAAACGTTTGACCTAAAACTGATCTGCAAGAAACTTGTTAACTGCAGCAAGACATTAAAGTTTGCTATTAGTGTTAGTAATACAATCTATATTTGGCAAATGGAGATGGTCACTATGCCATATCACATCCAAGCCAATAAATAAATAATGGAGTCTGGCAAGGACAGTAAAAAAGAAAAACCATATAAGGGCCAAGTTCCATTTCTGGTTTCAGAATATATAGTATCAAAGGATTGCTATCAAAAATCAGTGTTTTTCTTCATTCCCCCCACTTGTCTTCCGAAAAGAGGGTAATTTCATTCACGCACACTGGTACTTAAAAATACAAATCTATACAAAGGACTGTAGACCAGTAACACTAATGTCAATCATGCCTATACATATGGACTGTAGACCAGTAACACTGATGTCAATCATGCCTATACATATGGACTGTAGACTAGTCACACTAATGTCAATCATGCCTATACATATGGACTGTAGACTAGTAACACTAATGTCAATCATGCCTATACATATGGACTGTAGACCAGTAACACTGATGTCAATCATGCCTATACATATGGACTGTAGACTAGTAACACTAATATCAATCATGCCTATACATATGGACTGTAGACCTGTAACACTGATGTCAATCATGCCTACATAAATGGACTGTTGACCAGTAACACTGATGTCAATCATCCCTATACATATGGACTGTAGACTAGTAACACTAATGTCAATCATGCCTATACATATGGACTGTAGACCAGTAACACTGATGTCAATCATGCTTACATAAATGGACTGTTGACCAGTAACACTGATGTCAATCATGCCTATACATATGGACTGTAGACTAGTCACACTAATGTCAATCATGCCTATACATATGGACTGTAGACTAGTAACACTAATATCAATCATGCCTATACATATGGACTGTAGACCTGTAACACTGATGTCAATCATGCCTACATAAATGGACTGTTGACCAGTAACACTGATGTCAATCATCCCTATACATATGGACTGTAGACTAGTAACACTAATGTCAATCATGCCTATACATATGGACTGTAGACCAGTAACACTGATGTCAATCATGCTTACATAAATGGACTGTTGACCAGTAACACTGATGTCAATCATGCCTATACATATGGACTGTAGACCAGTAACACTAATGTCAATCATGCCTATACATATGGACTGTAGACCAGTAACACTGATGTCAATCATGCCTATACATATGGACTGTAGACCAGTAACACTGATGTCAATCATGTCTACATAAATGGACCAGGCTGACAAATAGTCCTAATGACAAAGCATCAGATATTACATGCAGACAAGAACACTAACATCATGCAGGACCAGTCATGCCATGACATTCTGCTTAGTGTAACTAAATATTTTAAACAAGTTTAAGAAATCTCAAGTTATATAATTGTATACCATTTTTCATTAAAGGAGATTTTTTTAGTGACAAATTATGCTTATTTAAGAATATTTGCCTTGTCACATTACCATTAAGAAATTATTATTTTACCTCCTAATCTAGCCCCCTCTTTTCGTCTATATAGTATACAGATAAGGGAAGTAACTTTCACAGCTTAACACCTCTTATTCCTCTCAGGTAGACATGCAAATCCTGAATGTTGAAGCTTAAACAATACCTATAACATGATGCTTGCATTTGATGGGGTGGGTGGGTGGGATTGATTGTGTACACATTTTGGAGAAATATAATTTACTAACCTATTTCCTTTGTTTATCAAATACATAGCAAAACACACTCATTTTTTGTTGTTGTTGTTGTAGGGTTTAATGCCATTTTTCAGCACAAGATAGGCTATACATTGCAGCCAGTATTAATGATGGAGGAAGAACCCTGGAAAACCTAGGGAAAAACCACTGACCCACGAGAAGCTACTGGCAGGCTTTCTCACTTACCCACATTAGCTGAGTCTGGATTCTAACTAACAAAGGTGAGATGGCAGTGATTCGTAACGGTCAGCGTTTTAGACCACTGGGGGCCCCCACTCATGTTTTGAGAATAGGTACAAGGTGGTGAAAATGCTTCAGCATCCAATTTCTGCCATTGTCACTCTGTATGAGGACGATGACTGCTCTACAGAAGAACTCCTAATGTGATGATAGTACAAGCAAAGATTATGTATTTATACACATACAAAGGTAATCTCTGTGTGGTACATACAAGGGTAATCTCTATGTGGCACATACACGGGTAATCTCTGTGGAATTCTGCAGATTATTATTGCATCAGGTGCCACACTCCTGGAAACTGCTTATATTTCATGAGCTCAAACCTGCATGAGTCATACCTGATACTGTTCGAGTTCAGGCTACACCAGACCTTTAGCACTGTTGGATTCATGTCTCGCTTTTCTCTTTTGTCCAGGAAGAAGAGCTTTTGATTACATGAGACATTTTCTGTGTGCCTTGGATAGAATCTGGAAGCACAATACAGTTTTGCCACTCTTGATGGGTTCATCAAGAAGAGTGTGTTCATAATTATTTGTTGGTTTCCTATTGATGGTAACCAGTTTTGAGAAATGAAAAATAAGTTGTTTCATTAGTACAATTGAGTCAACATAAATCAACTGCATGTACTGGTAGTTCTGATCCGTGGACAATGCATACACTCATCCTCCTTCAAATTGAAGCTAGTACTGTCAGGAAGCAAATCTTCAATAATAACTGCTTCACAAATGGTGGCAGACAAGAGCTTGAACTTAAATGAATTAAGCCACAGCAAGATCCAGGAGAAGTTCCATTTTTAGGACATGGCAAGAATGGCATATATATGTTTTGAGTCTGAAAACAAGTGGGAAAGGTCCTCAATGGAGGCCTTTATCTTTTCATACAAGATGTATAATCCTGTCTGAGATCATGGAATAGATTCCCTTGATTGTGATAAGGTCTAGCCTCTTGTCTTCAAAGAGGAAAAAAGTTAACTAGTTGGGGGATGAAAGGTGAGATTGGTGTGACATTATGCGACATCAGTCTTTAAAAGAGCACAAGTGAAAGGCTGTCTAGCTGTCATAAACTTCTCCACAATTGATGAGCAGAACTCCTATTTGTACAATGCATCCCTGATAGTAGCAGGACATGAAATAATAATGACTTAAGCTGCTTGAGCAGCATAGGGGGCGCTATGTTTTTCTTCCATAAATCTGTCACCAAATAAGTAGATCAATGATCTGTTCCATTTTAGAGTGAACAATTTTGCAAGCCCTGTCCCGAAAAATTAAAGAACTGCTTAATGGAAGGCATATCTCTGTATTCCCTCCAAACTAACCAAAAGGGCATTAAAGATCCATATATCTTGGTCCAAGAACTGAGAGATGAAGGCAGATAATTTATTATTCAATCTCATCACAAAGAGATCTAGAACTGGTTGCCTTCATTGGGCACAGACTCAACAGAACATGGATGAATGGAAAGACCACTCAGTATGAAGCAGTTGGCCTTCCCTTAATAAAGAGTTGGCCTCACCTTGGTAAGAAGTTGGCCAGATCACTAAGCTATCTGGGGTGTATGTTTAAATCGTATTAGGCACACATACAAAGGTACTCCCATAATGCAGGGGCCCGAGTGGCCGAGTGGTCTAAATCGCTGTTCATTACGGATCACTGCCATCTCACCTCTGTCTACGCGAGTTCGAGTCTAGGATTCGGTGAATGTGGATATGTGAGAAAGCTTGCCAGTAGCTTCTCATGGGTAGATGGTTCTTTCTGATTTCCTGGTTTCTTCCTCCACCATTAATACTGGCTGCCATGAATAGCCTATCGTGTGCTGAAAAATGGCATTAAGCCCAACAACAACAACAACTCCCATAATGCAAGTGTCCATTGATTTTGTTTCCTTATCTTGTTGATGTAGAACACTTACTGGAAAGTCCGACATTATAAGGATAATGATGTGTGTCATTTGGATTCTTAATGTAGTTTTAACAATTTTTCAATCATATCGCTATGATGTCTGCAGTGTGGCTGTTTATAGTGATGTCTAGCACTGGGGCTTCATGCCACAGACATGTAGCACGATTTTCCACCCAGTCACATTATCCTGTTGCCATGCCGACCAGTCCTAATAGTAACTTTTTAATGCTGAACACCAAACTAGGTAGCTCCTAGTACCATTTTTATAAGTCTTTGGTATGACCTGACTGGGGTTCGAACCCATGACCTCCTGCATCTGAGGCAGATGTTCTAACCACTAGACCACCAGCGTGGTTGATAATGATGTGAAAAGCCCTCTCATGTAGTGTACGCTGATCATGAACAGATCTGGTTGCAAGAGTGCTCTCAGACTCAGCATGCTGGAATCAGTGTAGTTATGAATGTTGGTTGTTGGGATTTATTCCAGCCACTAACTGCCCCTCACTTCCCCCCAAGTCTTGAAGCAGGAAGTGTTTAATTTGGTTCAAGATCATATTAGTTTCAAATCACCTAAAAGTGGGCATCACAAAGCAAGAAGGACCATCTGCAGAAGATAAAGGTAAAACTGAAGAAGTAAACAGGTGGAGATGAAATAAATCCCCAACTGAAATGAATGTCCTGGTGAACATCTCTGATGCATGTATGATCCTATCAATGTGTTTGGGAGGAAGTTGAAAGTGGTTGATTCAGGTAAAATAGTGTAAAATCCAACTTATCCAAATTAACTATCCAACCTAAACTGCAATTTAGGTAGAGAAGGGTATTCAAAATTTGAAGAAAAAAATAAACAACAAAACAAACCCCAAAACTTGCAAACTGTTTTGCAATCCATGATCCATGCATAAGACCAGCAACATGGAGGACATCCTGTAGTGGGATATCTTGCAGTCCATTGTATAGGTGAAGTTAGTAGATGAAGCAAAGGCATTTTTGATTTTCTGTGAACAGGTCTATGGAAATACAAATTGGCCTGATCATATATTTTGTTGTATCCTACTGGCTAATAAATGTTTGCTGTTGCTGATGAGAATTATTCCTCTGGTTTTTCTGTCAATTATGAGCTCTTTCCTGGTAGTCCCCTTTATGGTGTTACACAGAGGTGGGGCTAGCAGAGAGAGCAGAAGGGGTAATCGCTGTGCCATTTGCTTTCTAATCTTTGACACCTTAAAAGAGAGAAGAAACAATGTTGATGGAGTGCAGCATTACCACCTGGTAGTTTGAATTAGAGCTTATGGCAAATCAGCACATCATTGGCTATATGGTACAAATTTAAAGGTAGCTGTTTGAAAAAAAGGCTGCATGGTGAAGTTAAAGAAATGAGTGTAAGAAAGAGTCTCTTCCCATTAATCAGAGCTTGGCTGTTGGTGCATTTGCCGTTGCATGATGAGCAGCCCTACAGACTACTTTGGTTCCAAGGCAATGTCACATCAACCTTTCTTGCAACTGCAGAAGATATTGAAAGTTGGGAGAAGTCAATCTGACAATCCTGACCAATTCAGATGTGGCATTAAAAACATCGTTTAGGAGACAAATTGATGGCATGATTATCCTTTTCTAGGCTAGATACAACCAAATGATAAATAGTGTATTGTGAGAAAGTTACATACTCATCAATAAGGTCTATAACTATTGTTGTGGTAAAATTCTGAAGGAAGAATGTCACCATCGTAATGTCCGCCAAGGCCTAGATCATGCCAATAAAGGGCATTTCAACAGAGGCAAAATGTTATACATCATTCATTGCTACGTTATTCCATCCATTTCATGGTCTTAATGGAATCTTCAGGCAAGTCCCACTCAATAAGTGGGGGATTTCCCTTCTGCTACACTCAGCATCCAGGGATACAGCATTTCACACTGCAGTGATGATGCTGAATTATTAAGCATGCATAAAAAAGGCTCTACCCATCAAGTAGAGATGACAGTTATATCCTGCATGAAGCATTGGTCTGGCTAGAAGTCCAGTGCATTCAATTGGGTCAGGATGAACAGATGAATGGGAATAGTCATCATAGATATTGTTGGTAGTATGTTGGGTATAGCACATCACTACTGTAGAAACTTTTAAGTATATTCATCAATCCAATATGAGGGATTAATGACTACTACAGAAGGACATTTAGTCAGCAGCTTGAATGACATATGGCAAACAATATATCTCTTGTGGGATCAACCAGCTGGCAAAGTCAAAATGTAATCTCACACACCCGCTTTAAATGTTCCTAAATCCGTGCATGGGCAGGGAAAGGGACATATGACAGTGGGTTACCAAACTGGTTTAAAATGGTCCTAGCTTTGTCCAACTCACTGACATTTTTAACAACTTGCTTGTCATAGTATATATGTCAAATGCAATTCCAGCTTGAACATGGAATCATTTGAGCATGGCTTTGCCTGGATCTGAAGTTATATTTGCCATTGGTACTGTTTTAGGTATCTCTCAGATTTTTCAATACTTTTTAAGATGTTGGCCCAAGTGCCCCCACATTCTACACACAATAAATGGGTGCAAGGAAAATGATTTCATGCAGGCATGGTACATCTTGTGGCAATATTCTATGACTTTAGAACATTTGCACCTCTGTAATTAAAAAGAAAATGCAAAACAAGTATATACAGCAGATCAAAAACTAAAAAGTGTGTAATAAATGTAACTGACCAAAATGTGTCTGTGTGGTTTGGATTTTTAATGCAGCTTTAAAAATCTTTCAGTCATATTGCTACAATGTCTGCAGTGCGGCAGTTTATAGTGATGTCTAGCACTGGGGCATCATGCTGCAGACATGTAGCATGATACCCCACCCAGTCACATTATCCTGACAGTAGGCCAACCAGTCCTACCACTAACCTCTTAATGCTGAGTGCTTAGCAAGGCAGCTGTTAGTACCATTTTTGTAAGACTTAGCTATGACTTTGCTGTGAAACGAACCTGTGACCTACTGCATCTGAGGTTGACACTCTAACCACTAGGCCAAAATATAACTGCAAAGTACAAAAACTTAAGTGTTACTGATCAATGTCACATAGAAAATAATGACCAGAAAATAAATGCATAAATAAAAATAAATTCACCAGGAATAACTCAGTTGTTGCATACACCAGGTACATCAAACTTCTTAGTTACTATACAATTATAAATAAATGTTGAATGGTAAAAACTGATCACAAACTAATGGAATTTTTGGAGGCACTGTTCAGAGTTGAAAGCAAAAGTTTAAACTGGTATATATCCAGGATATAAGTTGCAACAGAGAAAAAACTAGGGGAGTTAATCTGAAGAGTTGCTTCTCTTTGTTTTGACATGGCTGGCAAGATGAATTTATATCTTTCAGGAATGCTGGGTTTGGACACAGTAATTCTCAAAAAGAATTCAATGACTTAATTATCTCCATTTCCATTCTTGTAAAATTGCCCTAAATGCAAAATTTTGGATGAAGAGACTGATAAACTAACATACATAACACTGTCAGTATCAAAACTCTGATTTTATATGATGTGCTATACTAGTTAACTGGTATGGTTATTTCTCCCTTATGGCAAATTGTTTTATATTTGTTATAAGAAAATTTAATACTTTTCTGACTCGATAAGGCACAACTATTTTCTTATGAACAAAATAAGCATATACAAAAAACACTGTTTTCAAGAACAATGTATATTTTACTCATTATTTGAAACTGTTGCATATTCAAACAATAATCTGTCTTAAATCATTGTTTCAGATGGTGACAAAATAAATTGAATCTTTTATTACACTATACGAGAGATTACAATTTTCAGAACGTATATAACAAAATAGTGAAAATTATAAACATTGTACAAAGAAAGACTAGTTAAAGTATAAACAATTATTTCCAGCACACAAGTAATTTAAATAAATGAAAAAAATGTGAAATGTTGACACTACATTATGTATGTCTCTTAAAAAACTGGGCAATGTGTTATCCTGTAAATTCAACATTTTTCACTGTAAACATAGTATATACATTGTTTTCTATGATCAAGTATAAATATATACATGTACATTTCCAGGTCATTGCTTAATCAAGCATAAACGTTTAGATGGTCATTTTCAAGTAACTGCTTAATCAAGTATAATCACCTACATGTACTTTTCCAGATATTACTTAATCAAGTATAATCACCTACATGTACATTTCTAGATTATTACTTAATCAAGTATAATCACCTACATCTACTTTTCCAGATATTACTTAATCAAGTATAATCACCTACATGTACTTTTCTAGATTATTACTTAATCAAGTATAATCACCTACATGTACTTTTCCAGATATTACTTAATCAAGTATAATCACCTACATGTACTTTTCCAGATATTACTTAATCAAGTATAATCACCTACATGTACATTTTCAGATTATTACTTAACAAGCATGTTGTACTTATACCACAGCAATAATAACACAAGTGTAGCTAATAACAATTAATAAGCACGATTAAAGAAAATCTTAATTCAAGGATAAAGCACTTTAAAATGTGAGGTTTATTACAATCTGATAACAACCACCTGCATACACTTCTCTCAGTAGAAAAACTCGGTCTTGACACATACAAAATGAAGTCTATTGAAATTTTGCCTTGCATAAAATTGTACAATTTAAACTAAAGACATGCAATATGTCACATTGTCATAAAAAAAAAAAAAATTAAGTTTTTCTTTAAATTAACGCCAAACCAAGTTAAATGGTTGATTAAAATACACATCACTGATTTAAGACATTAAACTCATCAGAACAAGCACACAATTTACATGTGAACTTTGGAATTCTGTGACTCCTTTACAATGTTAATGTTGTTGTTGTTGTTGTTGTAGGGTTTACGCCATTTTTCAGCACAAGATAGGCTATACATGGCGGCCAGTATTAATGGTGGAGGAAGAACCCTGGAAAACCTTAGGAAGAACCACCGACCCACGAGAAGCTACTGGCAGGCTTTCTCACTTACCCACGTTAGCTGAGTCTGGACTCGAACTCAGGCAGACAGAGGTGAGATGGCAGTGATCCGTAACACCTTTACAATGTAATAAATTACAATTGCTTTAATGCCCCCTATTGTGTATGATATATAAATCAAAAGGAAAATGTATGCCAAATCTTACAAGTGCAATACTATATATCTTATGTCACATGGGGCAAATTCCATGTAGCACTATTTCTGCAATTTGTTTGGTGCGTGTGTGTGTGTGTGGAGATGGAGTATAAACTTCAGTTTCACTCTACAGTTACTATGTACTTCTGCTAAAGGTAAAAGTATAGGTGAAGTTGGCTGCACT